CCCCCTGCGGCCTTCGGCCTCCCTAGCGAGACAGCGCCAGCGCTTGCGAGAGCAGCGAGGGTGAAGAGAGTTGCTCCCAGCCAGGCTGCGGCCCTCACGTGCCTTGTATAACCCGCCATGCACACCCCAACACGGCGCTTGTGGGTGTGTGTACACAAGCTACGCTGCAGACCTGCAGGTCTTTGTAGGCGTCCTGCCTGCTATACAACTCTCTTGCATTTGGTTCGGGATATTTTTCTTATCATCCCCTCCTTGAGAAGACCGGGCTATTGAGCCAGAGTGATAAAAAAAAAAATAAAAAAAAGTGACGGTAGCCACAGAAGGGTCAACAGCTTAACTGCCCTATATCATATGGTGAAGTAGGGTTCTCAAGACGAATTTGTAGAAGAAAAACTCCGCAACAAATTACGCACATACTTATCAGGACACATCATGACTAGCGCTCACATGCATCTTACATACCAGCAGAAGCAATGAAGAAACTCGATCATCGATGTCCTTCAGATCACCAGCGAGCAACATACTCAGATCGCTTACATCCTCTTCATCACCTCGGAGCAGACACAATCAGATAACTCTCATGTCTTTCAGATCACCTCTGTCCTTCTGATCACCTCGGGCAAACATACCCCGATCACCTATGTCCTTCAGATTGCCAGGGAGCAAACATACTCAGATCACCTCTGTCGTTCTGATCACCTCGGGTAAACATACCCCGATCACCTATACTTCAGATCAGCAGGAACCAAACATTGCAAACATATACTACTCGAATCATCTATGTCCTTTTGATCACCACGGAGCAAAAAATTTCATGTCACCCATGTCGTTCAGATCACCTCGGAGCGGACATACTCACATCAGACCACTTCGGAGTAAACATACCCCGATCAGCTATGTCCTTCAGATCAGCACGAACCACACATATTCAAGTCACCATGTCCTTCAGATCACCAGTGAGCAAGCATACCCATGCCTTTCAGATCAACTCGGCGCGAACGCACTCAGATCACCTGCCTTTGTCTTTTAGACCACCTCGGGGCAAACATACATAAATCACCTACCAGGTATGTCCTACCGATCACAGCAGTGGACATACCCTCCGAAAGAGGTGAATAGCTCGATCTGCAGCGATCCGATCTGTCCCACACAGCACCAGGTAAAGAACAAGAACAGAGGTCGGCCAACACTCCTGTCAGTAGATCGCTACTAATTGGTGACTGCGTAGAAGCGTAGAACTACGGCTGCTGCTGCTTCACAGCCAACCCCGGTCAGTGAATTTTGTCTAAGATCAAGCTCATGAACCATTCAATCACGGCCGTGTATCGGACGGGGCCGACAGATGTTACAGCAGCCAAGACTGATGTACATGTACTTCTCGGATATTGTACAACCCGTCACTACATTGTACGAACTGCACATTCGTTGCACTGCAGTTCAAATTGTTTCTGGGAGGATTGTTCGTTACACACACAGGCAGTAGATGTGGCACATGTCCACAAGCCTCCACAAGCCTGATGGAAACATCCGCACAAAGGTGTTGGTCGATTGGTCGGTTGATCGGCTCTGTGGATGCATCCAGATGGCGAACGATTCATTTTCTAGACCGCAACCCCAAGAAATTGCACACCAAAATGGAAACACGCTTGCCAGCTGGCTCTTCATCCGGCACTAAACGGTCGGTGGGTGGTCGGCAACATGCCGGGTAGGAGAACAAAAGGCGGGTCTATGAACCAATCGAGCCTTGGCGGAGCATCAAGCTACGCAGCAGCTATACTTTGTTTGTTGTCGTGCAGAAGGTTTGAAAGAGGTGGGGTGAGGATACGCGGTGGTGCTAGCCCGCGGGGATGCGAACGGCGACGTTCGGAGGTGCATCAGATGATGATTTTCTTCCAGATAGAATTTTCGAAGCGTATTCACAGCAGTCAGCCACAGCAGTTAGATATCAACATTAATTAATCTATTAAAGTTCAAGTCACCTTCAGATCGCTAGCAGAGTCAGCAGACATGGTGAACTCCGGTCTCTAGAGATGGTATTCCGCTGCAGACGCGACCGCTGAAGTGCACTGCACCAAGCAACAGGCATGACCAAAACACCGACCACATGGGGGGATCAGAGGAGGGGTCATGGTTCAATTTCTAGTACGCGTGCCCCCTTCGAGAAATTTGACCGAGCACGTCGCTCACTCGGTCGAAGAGCAGGCATGATGTTTATCAGGTAAGAGTGTTGCATACCCTACACCACGGTATTTGCATCCCGATGGCGCCAGTTTACCTCCAGGGAAGTACGTGTCGGATGAGCTTTGGCTCTACAAAAATATGCATGGGCTCCACGTTCCTTCCCCGCACACGACATCTTGCTTCTTGCCCCGCCTCCCCCCGTTGTTGTGCAACTGCTTTGGTGACCAGGGTTGCATGCAATGCTGCACGTCACGTCCCTTCCGCGGGCCGCATGATCTCTTCGTCGGCTGCGGCAAGGGCGCCAGCGGTGTTGCCTGACCTGACGTACGACTACGGCGAGCTTGAACCCGCTATCAGCGGCGAGATAATGAAAATTCACCACACCAAGCACCACCAGGTCGGGGTTCGATCCTTTTGGTTGCCCTAACACTTTCCTTACACGGAAGCGTTCATGGGTGTTCATGGGTAACACAAGAGTGTTGCTGTTCTCGATCTGGAAAGTTGTTTCTGGCCATGGCTTTTTTATGCAAAGCCAGAGGAGAGAGAGCGAACCATTCGGTTTGTGCACTTCCTTGTCGTTGGTGATCGGATGTTGTTGACCTCACATGGGGCGCGGTGTGCGGGGTCAGGAATCAACTACACCAGCTCTACCTTCACAAACAGCCCGCTTCGTTCGAGAACATGACAACATGACGTGCGATCACCCAGGATGGCCGTTTTTTCATGCGAACGAAGATATCAACGGCAATAGCATTCATGAACACCATGACACCAACAACAACATAAACACGCTGGAATGTATAAGGGCTGTGCTGTTGTGGAAGAGCCCCGCACTTGGATGTTGAGAACCTCGACGGGAACCACTGGTGGTGTTTGTTGCTTGACGACACGCCCGCCAAGTACAGTACAAAACTGCTAACCTATTGCCTGTGGGTTCATGTATGTCCTGGAGAACAGCGTTTGTTTAATGCAATATTATCAAGTTGTGCCTCGCAGAACAGCAGTTCTTTACGTGTTGCTCCTGTCGTGGCGCGACTATTTATTGCAAGATGAAAATAAACAACATGGACGCTTAGGACTGCTACTCTACGCGACCCGCTTCGTTGCCCATTCTGCTCCTTTCCGTACCCTTGGTCATCAAGTTTTGATCCGTACAGCAGCAACGCCAACCCTGCTGCCATATGATTCCACAACGAGTAGCGGTTTTCCGGTGGTGATGCTTCTGGATTGTGGAGTAGCGCGCGGGAAGGCTCAGCACCGCTGGTCGTGGATTTTGGGACTGCTTTGTCACCCCGCGCACCTTTTTTCGGCTGGAATTGGAACTGCTCCGTTGAACTTGTCAGGCGTATATCAACAACCTGAACGCGGCGATGGAGAAGCTGGCAGATGCGGAGGCGAAGGGAGACGTGACCGCTATCCTTCAGTTGCAGGCCGCCATCAAGTTCAACGGCGGCGGCCACCTCAACCACTCCATCTTCTGGAAGGCAAGGGAAAGAGGGAGAGGCGAGGAGAGTTAACCACTTTGATAGCTGTGATCGTGGAGCTGGCTGCCCCGTCACCAGAGTTTCCCAGTACCAAGGGCCACCTTAAGTTGTTCGTCCCAATGAGGGCGTGGCTGTTTGGCAGCGTAGCGCTGAAGAAGATACGGGACATGAGAGAGGCGCCGTGTCGTCTCGGTAACGTGTTGTCTTCTTTCGTGTGTTGTTTCGTGTTGTAAATGGCCGCTAGACGTGACCATGCTCCAGAGGACCTCGTGCTAGTATGTCTAGGAGAACAGAGACCCCAGAACATGTCGATAGGCTTTCGAGGCGTACCGCTAGGCGCGCTGTAAGAACTTACACGCGTTCGAACCTTCGACTCGCACTCCGCCCTTCCCTCGCAGAACTTGGCGCCCGTGGGCAAGGGGGGCGGGGAGATGGTAACCGGCACCCTGGCGGACATGATCGAGGCGCAGTACCACTCGATGGGAGAGCTCACTGAGAAGATGAGCGCGGCGTCGGTGGGCGTCCAGGGGTCCGGGTGGGGGTGGCTTGGCTACGACAAGGTCAACAAACGGTTAGCAATCGCCACCTGCGCCAACCAGGTATGTGTTGTATGAGCTGGACGCGTTTGCCGTGGGTAGGTTGTAGACAAATCCCCCCGAGAAGCCATGGCGTCGCTTGATGCGGCGAGTTGGGGTCAGCCTTCACGTGAACTTTGTACCGCTCGAACCGGTGAAAGAGTTTTTGGGCCTCTCCTTGCGTTTCCGGTTCGTACACGGCATCAAGCGACTCCATGGCTTCTCGGGGGGGCGGCGGGTGTTGTTTCTCTTTCGTTCGCCGTGTGATGTAGATTAAAGCGGCTATCATTTGTGTTTTTCCCGTGGTGTTGTGAAGGGGATCGGGTTGGCGGGTTCTGTCGTCGTTTGGGCTCTGTGGCGTGTACCCCGTGGTCTGTTGCTCCCATTTTGTTTTTCGTTGTGCTGTGGTTGTCTTGCAGTCAGCTATGCCCCCGAACTGTTGGTTGTGTGGAAATGCTAATCAACCGTTGTTGCTACTACTTCCACAGCAGTGTTCCGAGAAGGTTGCCCCTCCGACATTTTTTCGTGGATGCAAGCGCGTGCGGTACCTAACCGACGTCGTTCGTTGTTCGTCCGTCGGTTCGAATTCGGCCCCACTATGGTAATCCTGACCCTGTTGGCTTTTGTCGCCCAGCCATGAAATACATTTGTCGCGCTGTTGGGCATGTAAAAAGGACAGGAGCTCGAGCAAGTCGAGCACGCGCAACAGCAGTGACCAAAACGAGGACTTGGCACCCCCTCACCCTCGATGTCATCTCCACCCCGGTCATGTTTGTTTGTACAGGACCCGCTGGAGGCTACAACCGGCCTCGTGCCCTTGCTAGGGATCGACGTGTGGGAGCACGCGTACTACCTCCAGTACAAGAACGTCAGGCCCGACTACGTCAAGAGCATCTTCAAGGTGGTCAACTGGGCGGACGTTCAGGAGAGGCTAACCGCCGCGACTTCCTAATGGTGTAAAAAATTGCCACTCCGATCATGACCGTCGTGGATACTGCTGTGGGGACCCTTGGTTTGCACTTCTAAATGCCCGTCGAATACGTGTATCCATTCCTCTCAAGTCATATCATAGGTGGTTGCGAGGTGCACCGGCCTGGAGAGACCGGGAGTATTGCACGCGACAGAAGGAGGTGCGGGCTGCCGATGGATGTAAATCTGACGAAATCGCATACAAAGCAACTTGCTGTTGTACCTTGGAGCGTGGGGTATGAAGGCTCAGATGTTCTACGCGAGGCGGACACCACATGCTTGTTACTTTGGCAACGGGGGGGGGGGCGTTTTTTTGTCTGGCAGTGCGGGATCAGTTTTTTTCTGGCGGCCTCGTGGTGAGCAGAAGCAGGAGGGGTGGCGGTCAACGGCAGGGAGCACGGGGGCAAGCGGCTTTCTTTAATCTTTAATTTCCGAACAGTTTTGAAGCGGGATGCGTTCGGGTGAATCGTCTTCGGTTGTTGATTGTTCGCCTTGTTTTTTCTGCCCAGGTCTTGTGTGAGCGCTGCTGTCCCCTGCCTTTGGACCCGCAGCCGCTCTGCGAAGCAAGTCGTGAAGAGGAGGGGTAGTCCAAGAGAGAACGGTCCAGCTGAAATCTGTTGTTGTGACCACGTCACGTTGTAGTGACCACGTCACCCGTCACAAGAAGTCCTTAGCAGGCATCGTTCCTGGTTGCATTGTTCCGCGTACTCTCTTTCGATTAAACTCAATTCCAACAGCCGAGAAGAGCTTCAAGCTTCACACCGTGCTCATACCCACCATCGTGTGTACATCGTGTCAAGTCTAGAGCCTTGTCATGGGTGGCGCACCTTGACTATCTGGCACTTCGCCCCTCTTATCGTCGCGCGCTCTCCTGGTTTTCAAAGTCTGCTGCCGCTTTCTGCAACCTTGCTGTAACGTACGCATCACCCAGAACTCCAAAATAAGCGCAAAACACTCTTCCTACAGAAGAAACGTTCCACAGCAGCAGCAGGCACAAAGGGCGCACCCCAGTCCGAGACTGCAGATCGAGGATGTACACCACAAACACAAGTTTTTGCGTCGAATGAAATGGGAAGTGCACACATCATCTCTGCCGCTGCTCCTCCTCCCGTCTTCGCGAGCGGGGTGTACCCTATCTCCCGTTCCCTGTCCCCCTCTCATCTCACTCAAGAACAACCGAAAGTGACTCCACCCAAGTCGAGGTGCGACGGGCCCACTTCGCTCCCTGATGAGCTATACACACAATACCACGTGTTACCCTTCGAAGCAAAAATTTAAGGAGTCGGTGAACACCTCGTGGCACGCCTATCGCGCGCCATCATGCTTGCAACACTCGTCTTGGCTCAGTCCTGTGCGCAAGGTCTCTCGCGAGGTCGCTTATATTGGGGCTATTTCGTCTGGAAATGCATCAGCACCCCAAAACGCCGAAGGGCGGCGTTGATACTCGGGAACTGCTGTGCCGCATACCATGTGGCTACCGTCATCGAACAGAGACTTCCCCGCTGCTACTAATATTGGTGGTGGTATTTGCTGGACTGCCGCTGAGGCTCCTGTTGTTCATGCGGATCATTTTCCGCCTCTGTGCCGCCAGCGTGGACTTCCCGGTCGCCCTTTTCTTCAAGAAATGCCGCCTTGTTGGCATAGCGCCCACCGCATTCAACTGGTCGAGCGTGCTCTTGGCGTCGTCCTTGTCCAGCCCTCCCAAAACGGCCGCCTTGAGTATTCTCCTATCCATCGACGTGCATATCTGTTTCGTTGAGGCAGAATTGTTTCGAGGCACGAGTCGTGTCAGGTGATGAGGGATGAAACCCACAACAACTTCGTGGGCTACCGAAACTTTTGCGGAAAATTGGAAGCTCCGCTACCTCTTGGCGCCGCGGGGCGTCGGGTTCTAAAAAAGTGGTTCAAAGCATATGGGTGCCGCCGAGATAAATCCCAGCGCAATACTGACAACAACAGCAGCAGCATTAACAGCAGCAACAATAGCAACAACAGTAACATACCTTGCAGAAAGTGGCAACTCGGCGACCTCCTTCGGCACGGCGGACGTTATTCGGCGTGTTCCAGAACGTGTGGCCTCGCTTGCACCGCCATTCGTGCTGAACGTTTTCAACCGGCACGTTCAAGCAAGCAATTGAGAAAGTCGATCCATGGCACGAAGGAGAACGCGAGTACGTACAGCAGCACGCGGAATGAACAAAGCGAAGGTCAGAAACATCGATACGATTTTGACACCACGACGCAAATACGTTTCCAACCCAACCGTTTTTCTTGAACGAAATTTACCGTGCTTCCATCATCAAGCGGATTGAGGTGACCTGGGCAACTCCAAGCCCGGGTGGCCGCAAAGGTGCAAGCAGAGCAAGGCGGCGACAAAAAATACGATTCGCTCCATCCGTCAACACACCTTGACCGCCGCTCCTTTGTACTCGGGGCTCAGGAAAACCCCTCCGAACTGCCGAGCGGTCTGGTGCATGTCCGCGAGGGTGAGCTTCTTGCGCTCGACCGAACGAAGGGCAGCGCACTTGGGACACCACGTCTGCAACAACAAAATTACATGCCAACGTTGGCGGACAAGTGTTATTTTATTCGCCTTTCAAGACCACTTGTTTATACGGCGTTGAGCATTTCCAAGAGGCGACAATTGTCAGAGATGCTAGAGGAGGTCGATTTTATCTGTAGTTCTGGTCTCAAGATCATGTGGTTCACACACCCGGGGTTAGGGTTCGAAACCCATCGCTAGACGAAAAACATCGATTACTGTGGATGAAAAAATCGGCGTCAGGCGAAGGCGACGTACCTACAGAGGGTGGACATTCGACTTTGCGATGAACTCACATTTTTATAGACCAAGTTGGACGGCGAAGTTAGCCACTCGTGCCCATCGCCGCACCGGAAAGCGATCTTCTCATCCATACCTGCCACCAAAGACGCCCATTACCGTTACCAACGGACACGACAAGTATGGGGACATCGGAGAGGGTGAGGGCGGTGGTGGTATTCATGCTTTGATCGTTCGTCAAAAATGTGTGTTTTGAGCCTTGTTTTCGACGACCGCAACGACTCCTCTTGCTCACCGAAGAAACTTCTAAGAGCTTCACGCCAAACGCGGCATGACGGCGTGTTCCGGGATATACAGGGGGAAGGATTCTCTCTCCTCTCGCTCAGCTTGTTGTCTGTACCACAGCAGACCGCACCGAGACCTCGGATTCCCTGTCAAACCCTAGTTGTCTAATGATCGCACGTCCTACCACATTAAACTACAACGCCGTAGACCGGGAGTGCCGGGATCGCGCGCTCCTCTCCGTTCCGCCCCGTCCCTTCCTTCCACTTACCGAGGTACTCTTCGGCAATGCATTCTCCCCCTTTCCCTCGAGCGATCTCTTGCATCGCTTCCAGATCTCGCTTTCTCTTCATCCTCGTCGTGATCCTTGTGTCGGCGCAGATGGGGCAGTAGAAGCACACCGGTGTTCCGTTCGGCTCCCACACGTGGCCTCTGGCGCCATCGAAAGTCACGGAAACCAGCGAAAACAATCAAAGGCGTTTGAGCGGCCGCCTCATTTTGTTGTTGCACTGTTCTCGATTGTGTGGGCGTTGTTGTTGCTTCGACCATGGACGCGGGGCGTTGCCTCAAAAACGTACCCGCGCTGATCGCGGGTGGATGAAAGCAGTGTTAGCAGGTATGCATGGGGCCAACATCGTCATCAAACGACAACAGCAGCATGTAAACCTCCCGACGACGCATCATCCCCTCTTTCATGTGCTCACTTCGAACAGCGAAACACTGGCACGGGGCACGTCCCAGTCTGGACGCACGGAAGGTCCGACTTGTACTCGGACAAGTGCCGGATCTTGTCCAGCTCCGGCGCTACGTGGTCCACCACCACCACCTGCTTGCCTCCAGTGCCTTGACCAGGGAAGATCGGGGAAAGATGGGAGCGGGGTCGGGATGTAGGCAAACCAACGGGCAAGGGGATGGCCGACGCAGGGAGAGCACACGCGCGCGCCAGAGAGAACCAGACAAGCAAACTATCTTGAACCACGCAAGAGTGAGAGAGAGAGAGAGATAGATCCAACGGAACAGCCGGTAAACCAGTGGGTAAAAATGCACGAGAAGGCGGGCAGAGTCAAAACCAGCAACAAGAGTCAAAACAGAGGGGTTCGGCGAAAAACGAGGCGAGGATGATGTACAAGAGTACCGTAACGTAACCGGCAGCACGGCCTTCCAGGCGACAACACTCTCTCACCGATCGGTGGCAGCAGTGGACCGCACCCTTGCGGGCGCTGGTTCTTCGGCATGCACGAAGCGTTCAACGGTCGTCTTCGGCTGGTGCAAACCACGCGGGGGTAAGGGGGAAGAGCCGGGGCAACGGGCAAAGGTCGCGGCCAAGGTGGCGTTCCACGATGCCGGCATAGGGAGAGGGGTGGGGGGGGGAGGAGAGGCCGAAATGAAAAGCCAAAGAAACAGACAGGAAGCGGTAAGCCAGGTGGTTAGGTCAAGCACGCCACTTGGCTCATCAACACGACCTCTGCCTTGTTGCAATAACCTCAAAAATGCGAGACAAGGACAAGCATATTATGCACGCTTCAGAGTGCATCATCTTCTTCCATACGGTAGTGCCGTGTTCTTCGGAATATGTCGTGCTTGTCGCTGAAATAGGGCCTCTGTCCATTGTTGCTATTGGCAACTTCGGCAGTCGTTGAAAAAACGAGTATTTTGAACAAAGCATGGACAGAACAAGTTGAGAAACCTGCATTCTAGAAGTACACCACACAGGTGGCGAACCCACGTCTTGCTACTGCAAACACCGACCAACGGCTACCAAATTTGCTGTGCGCACGCGAGGTGATCGGCATACTTGGAAAAGGTAAAAGACTATTAATCGTCCATGACAAACATGTTCCCTGCTGCAACTTCGCGTCTTTTACCCTCTCCTAGCCCACACAAGCTAAACCTCGTCATCCTTGCTCAAAGTATTCGACCCTCCCCCCCCCGGTGCCGGCTACACCTTACCATATGGTTGAGCAAAAAAAAATGGATTGGAATAATATCTCTCTCTTCCCCTCTCTCTCTCACCGACGGTAGTTCGAATACAACGCTTGTCGCCCGCTCTTCGCCGGCATCGTGCCGCTGCCGGCAAGCGCAGCAGCCGCCGCCGCTTGAGAGGGTGTGCCACCGGGCGGAGACTCCGGCAGTGGCGGTATCCGTGGCGGTGCCCCCGCCACGTAAGGCTCCCTATCTTCGAGAGAAAAGTCCAACCTGCGTCCACCAGGGTCCGTCAGCGTGCATTCTTGTTTTACGTAACGGAGTACTGTCGTAGGCCCACAGCACAGGAGACGAGATGTGCACCAGTGTGGGAAGCGACCCAGCGACCAAAAAGAGGGTTGTGAATTGGGGTCTGAGGGTGCGACGTGTATGTACCGTCAACACTGCTCCTGTTTTGGAATCGGCTGGGGAAGGGGGGTCAAACCTTTTACCACAAGTCCTACTGCTGTATCTTCGCATCAGTGCCAATTCACCTTGGTTGTTGGGACGGCGGTATACCGTTCAGTTTCACTCGACTCTCGACTGCTTTCTACGTCGGGGGTAAGGCGAGGACGAGATATGCGCTGCAACGACCGCCAGGAGCTCTAGAAGTAACGGTAATCGATAGGCCAAGTATTTTTTTCTCCTGCACAGCCTCCGCGTTGTCACCGAGTCGTCGTGGAAAAGTCTGGAAGCACCTTACATTTGAGATGATCAAACCCATTTACTTCGTTCGCACCATGTTCGTCTTCGTTGTCTGTTATCCTCAAACGTGAATGAGTGCTTGGCGCTTTCGAGGGTACACGAACTCGTCGGCACTGCTCTGACTTTGCAACAGTTCTGTGCAACTAAGCCAGAGACTACCGCAGGTGGCGTAAGATGTCACACCCCCTTGGAGCTACTTTCAAAGCTAGATTTTTCCGAGAGTAGAAAGAGTGGAGGCACCGAACACGGCCGCGTGGAAGCCGTCTCGCCGAGAGCTTTCCGAAAACGTACCTGTCGTTTTTCATCTACGCATGGTCTTCTCCGTGGAGTATTCAAGCTTTGCAAATCGGTCCAAGGGGGTGTGGTATCTTGTGTCACCGGCGGTATGCAACATACGAGTTCTCTCCTTTATCAACGCCTAATACCGTACACAACAGCAGGAAATATGCTTGAATACCTCATTTCATCAAGGCGTTGTTGCAAGGACTTTTTATTCCGTTCTTTTCGCTTCCCACCGCCAGAGCGTTTCCGGGAAGCAGCAGCATCTCCACCTCCACTACCTCCCACCCCCGTATCAGCCTGCTGCCGACCAACACCGTCGCTGCTTTCCCCACCAGCCAATCGTTTCGCTCGCAAAGAACAGGTTGGCGCCCGTCTAGTTGGTCGCACTTCTGCAGGACGCCTGTCGTCAATGTTGAGGAGTCAAAGCGGCCGGTGAAGTTGACCTGCAAGGCGACAGCAGCGCCACGGGCCGCGCGCTACACGGAGCTGTACAAGCAACGAAGGCACACGCGCAGAACAGAATTACGAGCCTACTCTACATCAACCGTTCTCTGCTGAGCAATCTAATCTTGTTCGGTTCATCTGAACACGAACACTTGCTAAGGTTCCGCATACCGTGCGACACGTGGCCCCTATTAGCACACGTGAAACTTGTGCGTTTCCCGTCGTGCACTCGCAGACCCTGCTAGAAGCACAACCACATCCGACACGCGACACGGAAACGTCACACGCAGGCAAATCCATGTTGAGCTTTTGTGCACCAATCCCGCACACCTGGAACGTGTCCTCGCCCTCCTTGCATGCTCCTCATTCCGCCACATTCTACTGCTGCCAGCCAGGGGGGGCACGAAGGCCAGCGTTAGATCCGTGAAAGACAACAAGGCGGCCGCTGCAGTACAGGTGCGAACACCGAGGAAAGCAGCCGCGGGTGCCAGCAACAGCATGTTGTTTTCCTCCGCCAAAGAACGAATCAGCAGTGCACGCCCTCCCCGGTGCAAGGCGATACTGGGGTTGAAGCCAGAGCTGTAGGGTGGTTGGCGCGACGGGCGTCTTATTGTGCTGGAGTTCACCTGCCTACCTGTCTCTCACGGTCAAGGGTACAGATGGTTGCCTGCTGTGCATTGGTGTGTTGTGCTGCCGGGTGGTCTGCCTACCCTCTCTGTCTTGCTATTCTTTCCTCTGGGGGGGGCCGCGTGTTACAGGGTGTGGTGGGTAAGGGGGGATACGATACCCGCCCGTGAGCCCGTGAGGTTCAACGCACCTCGACGTGCATCTTCTGTGTCTGCTGTCTGCTGTAACGAAGAAACCGATATCCTTAGCCTGAAACCTGGACAACAGGTGAGACACCTACCTGTTGACGTCTGAGTGCGAGAGGTCCATGCTACTTGTTGACAAAAACACACAAAAAGAGTGTCGCCGACTATCATGATGATGCCCCCCTCCATCAAAAAGCCTGCCGGTCTTGCGGTGCAAGCGTTCTGCCACACCCACAGGACCACAGGTCCGCAGGTCCGCCCGCAGATCTTTCAACCACTTCCTGTTGCGTTCGCTCCTCGTGGCACTGTGAAGTGACAGAGATCGTGTGTGGTTATGTCGGAGACTTATTCGCAGCTGGTTGTATTGGACGGCGACAATACGAATGGGGCATGACAGGTACTCTCTTCATCAGCTGGCTCTTTTGTGTCATACCGCACCCCCGACCTGCTGCACCATGCACTTTGTTGTGGGGCAGGTATCAAGACGGTTGCATACATGGACAAGGTTCTCGGCTGCAATGCTGTATCTTACCATGCCATGCGGTTTCATTGCATCGGTGACTGCTCGATGATTACGTTTTCGCTGGGTGCTTGAATGTGTATATTCGCACCACCCCCTCCCACGCTACACCCGCCGAACGCGTGTGGGTGCCCAAACCGCAAGGCGTGTGGATGGATTGTCGATTGCTTCCTCATGACACTAAAGGGTCCAGCACTATTCTTCTCAGAGAGCTTTCGGCCTTCGGCTTTGGGAGCACTTTTCAGATCGATGATACGGATGCTACAATATGCATTACGCTTTATGTATGTCGAGAACATAGCACTCGCTGCCTCGCCTTTGTGGTGCTGACGATAGTTTTGTGTCCGTGCGTTGATTCCACAAGAATTGTGTGTTTCTCGTGTACAGTACGTGCCACCCATACATTTTGCTCAAAGAGAAAAAAGAAAAGTGTATAAGATGACCGACCAGTAATTGCTGTACTAATGTAATTCTACACCATGATTCAGCGTCTCCTGCAGGCCTGCGGGGCGGAGGGTATCCGGTGTGCTTTTTTTTCACCCGAATGATTGGTGCTATCCGCCAAGAAGTGAAGGCCTTGTCTTCCTCCTTGTAGTTTTCACCACCTCATTCACCACCCAAACTAACCCCACATATGACCCGCCTCAAACTTCAAACCGACAAACGGAGGGGAGCAAGACTGACACACCAGGGATGGGGCCCGCAGTCTCTACCTCACCCATGCGCCAAAGAAAAGGGGCCCCGCAAACCATACTTACATCGAGCACATTAACCAAATCATCGACGCAGATAATTCATCGCTGTTGTGGGATTTGAGTACACGATCTGAACGGTAGTTTTAGGGAACGACAAAATGTTTAGGATTTCCTCGGATAAGAGTACAGGGGATGGGACGGTCCCTCCCTGCTGAAGGCACCGCTCCCTCTGTTCAACATACCAAAGCACCCAGAAACCGATACGGAAAATCGTTGTCTTTCGTTGGCATCCGCTTCATATGCGGACGGCTTATCCATTGGACTACAAAAGAAATTCGTTGGCTTTCGTTGACATCCGCTTCGTAGGCGGACGTCTTATCCACCTACGAAGCGGATGCCAACGAAAGTCAACGATTTTCCCGTTTGAAGCCTGATGGATATGCCGTCCGCCTACGAAGCGGATGCCAACGGAAGGCAATTTTCCGATTTGTATCCCAACGGATAAGCCGTCCGCTTACGAAGCGCATGCCAACGAAAGCCAACGCGAATCGTTGATTTTCGTTGGCATCCGCTTCGTAGGCGGACTGCTCATCCATTTCCGACCACAGGGTCTCGGGTTCAACTATGCAGGCTTAGGTTTCATCAGGCTTTCGGGCCATCGGTTCCTGTCCACCCACAATGGTTGGCGCTTCATCGCCACGGTCGCAGCCGACCCCCTGTTGGTTCGTTCGACTCGTTCCCTTTGTCTCCGGTTGATGGTTTTGCTCTGGAGCCCGAGTCTGTCGACCCGCATCGGACCCTCAACCCTGCCTTTTTTTTTCTTCGCGGACTCGTCACCGCACTGTGATGGTGACCTGGTACCGCCCGGTGATAGAGGTTTCTCTGACGTTGTCATCATTTTCACCGTGGGGTTCCGGCTCGATCCGACCGCTCCACTGGTTCCCGAGGTCGGCTTCGGCCCCGTCGAAGACACTAGTTTCACCGAGTTTTGGTTTCGACTACTCCTGCTGGTTAGTTGTCACATCTCTCAGCGCCCCCGGCTCGTGGACTGTATTCCGCGTCTCCGACGCCTGCAGCAACTTATGTTGACGCAGCTCTGCAATTTTCTGCATGTTGACATTCCTCGGAGTCCCCTACGAGTTTGGTTCCGACCGCTCAAGATGATTCGCTTCCGGATCCTCCCACGCGGCCTTCTGTTGGGTTGGGCTCTGCGTCTCCAGCGCCCGCTTCCTCTGCTGTGGAGCTAACTTTTCATGCTTCTACAAGGATTGGACTTTAGGGTGTCTGTTAAGCCCTTCTCTCGCGCTGATTGGTCTTGCGAGCAGCGTAACGAACTCGGTGTTGATGCGGTCATTCGTGTTGTCGTTTTACGTCGGCCTTCAGTCCTTCTTTCGGATCTCATGGACCATCTTCCATCCGCTCGTCGGCCTTCTCTCTTGGATATTCAACCACGGCCGTTTGCACGTTGATGATGGCGGCTTGGTTTTGATTGTTCGCACAGCCGATCAACCCTCCGCCTCAGACACCGCGCGTCCTGGTGAACGTACTGCCTGCCTTCCAACGACGAGCCCGTCAGAAATAACGTCCCGATGTCAATGCGTCTGTGCATCATGGAGGTTTGTCATACTGAAGCTTCTTGTCACCTCCGTGCAACCAGGTCGCCGAGCATGTAACATGCGTATTGGGGTCGTTGGCATGACTGTTTGCCCGTAATGGTGAATTCGGCCTAGTTTGCGATGTCAAGCCTGCATATCATCATCGTCGGACCTCCCGGTGGCCTACTTTGTGGCTTGCGTTGCCGTCCGCCCCCCGGTGTATTGGCGAGTGCCGACTACGACCTCGACCCTCTTCCTGTCACGCCACGCTGTGACACGTACATTCTGCTCTTCATAGACTGTTTCAGTCGCCGTGCTCATTATGTATGCTGTAACGGTCGCGGAATTTATAGCCGAGGGCACTGCCGACATCTTGGTCAATCGATATAGCCCTTGTAGGGTTGGCTTTTGTCTGACAGTGGTTTCCAGTTTTGCTCGAAAGTCACTCCAGCTATCCTTACACGTTTGGCTATTCGCAAAGTGGCTACTACTAGCTCCCCAACGAAAATGGTGGCTCCGGGACGTGTCAATCACACTATGGCTAGGGTCATGAGAGGCGCAAGACGACTGGGATACCCATCCACCACACGTTGAGTTTGCTTGCAACAACTCGGTTAGTACAGCCACTGATTTGGCGCCAAGTGAGGTGCACATGAACTATCTGGCTTGCTTGCCGATTTCTGTTCTTGAGCATCCATGCGCCCGCGGCCACTAATGTTGGTGGTTGGGTCTTGGCATATAACTCCTAATCAACCATTTACCAAGGTGTTCTTTCAGGTTCTCAAGGCTAATTGTGTATGCTATGGATCGGTCCGTTCAAAGTTTTTGTCGTTGGACCCTGTTCGTAAACGCCCCCTGATGGCAGTCCTTTGGCGTCCAGGTTGCTCCACGTGGATATTCCGTCGGACCTGCTTGGCCACGACTCGAACCCTGTTGTCGGTTGTGAGTCGCAAGCCTGCGCCAGCCCACATGATACCGACGACATACCGAGGCTCCTACTTGCCGGTTTCACACAGTTTGTTTTGAACACTCTTGCGACCAAATTTCTTCCCCACGATGTTACGGAAGACGGAAGTGTCGACTCCGGTTGAACGTCAGGAGGTTGAACGCATTAGTGGACATCAGTTTGTCCATGGTCGTGGTAACACCACCGCTGTTGTGTACCAGACACACTGATAAAGTCTTCTTCCGTCATGGGAGCGCGAAATGGATCTTCAGCACTCCAGAAGCCACACATTCTCCGGCATTGGACAGGCTCGCCCGACCAGCATCGCGCGATGTGTATTGGTGTGGCCACGGGAGAATCAGCGCGTGTCGAAGGTGAGCGATCCTTGCCTTGGGCTACTCTTTCGTCTCTCGTTCTACATGGGACCGTCGCTTCGCCGCTACTCCTCGGCCTGTGGGCGCTTTCTTCTGGTGCAGTTCCTAAGATGGACTTAGGTGACTAGGCAAGATCTCTGGACCGCCGCTTCCTGCCGATTAATACGTCGTCCACTTCATCGACGACCCGGGGCCAGACATTATCGCCCTTCCCGATGCTCGCTCCTCCACCATTGAAACCGCCGTCTGTGGGTCCTGCCGCGTTCTGTGTTTCCTGGTGCCTTCAAGTTCACAGCGGAAGCGTCTTTTTCAAAGGTATTCCTCGCAGTACCAACATGTCGCGTGGTGACACTGCGTGATTCGTTGCCCGAGATTTCAGCGCTCCACTGCCGTGACAGAATTGTTCCTATACTCGAATCAGAGCGGGGAACCTCTTGTCGACGAACGCGTGGTCTGAGTGAGTGTGAGTGGGTGATCGATGTGGCGTGTGTCCAGAAAAATTGTCACAGGAGCCGGCAAGCAGTAAAATGTGGCGTGCCTCTTTCGTATTCTTTGGGCGTAACAGACGATCGAGCCAACTATGTAGCAAGGTTGCAATAGAGATCTTCAGTTTGATGACTCACGATTAGAAAGAGATTTGTTTGGCAGCGCAGTTTGGTGGAACTGCACGGGCGACGCGTGAGTGCCTGCACGTCTGAACGAACGTTGTCTGAGCAGACAAGAAGAAGGAAAACGGTCACGCGCGTGACGTTACACTGTATTTCTTCTCTGAAACTGAAAAAAGTCC